TTTTAATTTTTGGAAGATCTAAATTAATGAAAAAATCAACTATGTTTATGTATTATAAGACAGTATTGTTAAGATGTCAATTCTTACCAAGTTCATTTATAGATTAATCTCAATCAAAATTCCAACAAGCTATTTTATACAGATTGACAAGCTAATTCTAAAATTCTATGGAAATGCAAAGAACCCAGAATAACGAAAGCAATTTTTTTAAATAAGGACAGAGTTAGAGGATTTACCCTAACTGATTTCAAGACTTATTATAAAGCTCTATAAACATGATGTTTTGGTGTTTATGGAAAGAGACATATAAAATGGATTGGAACAGACTAGCAGGTGCAGAAATAGATCCTCACATAACAAATTACATTGTGCCAAAACAACGTAAAGGAGAAAATTAAACCCTGACAATGAACATAATGATGTTGTTGGTTTAAAGCAGTATATTGACATCAAGTCAAAAGGAAGACAGGAAATTAAGTCAAAATTTAAGGTCAACATTTCTGGAAGCAGGACAGGAGCACATTAGAAACAGCTAACATATCTAAGCAGTCAATCTTGCTTGTAATTGTTGTCATGTTATAAATGTGTGTTCCTGACCCTGCTGGTGAGTACTTCTTACAAATAAAATAAATATTAATATGTTTAGATACAAGAATACATTGTTTTAATCCTATTGATGGTATTTCAAGAAATAACCTTGAAACAACTTCATACAATGGTGATTTCAATATATTTCTATGTAATATTATTGATCTTGCTAGGAGATCCAAGTGTTACATTGTTTGAATATTACCTAATCATGTTTGCTGCATTTTCAGAGTTGGAATATTCACTGAAGGATATAGTTCTTTGTAAAACAGACTAAAAATTTTTATTGTGAAAAAAGTAAATGAGCTTATAAAAAGCAACATATGCCCTAATGCCCACTCTGATAATTCTTTTGGAAACACTTTTAACAGCTGAACCAACATCAAACACAGAATAAGAAATTTTCTCTCGTCTGGAATATCTGTCACAAAACAAAGATCAAATCTATTGGATAAGGCAATTAATGTTCTGTGTGTTTTAAACTGTCATATGAAGAATAACTTTTTAAATATTAAATACTTTTACTTTTCATCTTGAAAAATAGTTTCTATTTAGAATTTATTTTGCATTATTGCTTCCCTCTTTTAATTATTTTTGTTATGAAATGTCTAACAAGTAACATGTAACTGAAATATACAACCTTGTCCGATATATTGGTTCATAATAATAATAAATCACACTTTTCTTATTTTCTCTTAAAACAGAAAGAAACCTCTGGAACTTTTAGTATAACCCTGTCACAGAAAAAGAATTGATTGTTTATTATTGTGGTTACTCTTTACATTTTAAAAACATGTAAAAAGTGTTATGAAAAATACAAAATAACTCATGAATTTCATTTTTTGTTGTTGTTGTTCCTGAATCCTAAAGATGTGTATGTGTTGGGAATTTGGAAACACTACTACAATAGCCATTTGCCATTACAAAAAAATTCTGCAGTGAACATCTATGAACCACTGCCTCACCCATGTGTATGAGTTCCTCTTGGGTAAATATCGAGGAGTAGAATTGCTGGATGGTAGGATACATACGTTTTCAGTTTTAATAGATCCTGCCAAATTACTCCCCAAAGTGGTTATCCCAAATCATTTAATGAACTTTATATGGTGCACCTTCTGCATGGGAGGCATAGATCTACGCACAGGGGATGCAGCAGTGAAAAAAAAAAAAACTTATGCCTTGTAGAGTTTACAGTTTAGTGGGAAGAGACAGTCAATGCCTATAACAAGTAGACTATAGAGTGTTTCAGAAGGTGATAAATACTATGGGGGGAAAATTAAGCGGGGAAAAAATTAAGCAGAGAAATGAGAACGAGGAGTATTAGAAGTTGCCGTTTTAGACAGGGTAGCTCATTCAGGAGTTAACATTTTAGCAAAAACATGAAGGGGATCTGGTTGAAGTGTTCCGAGCAGAGGGAACAGCCAGTGCAGAGCAGGAGCCTGCCTGGTGTGTTTGAGTAACAGCAGGGAGGCCAGTGTGTCTACAGCCGTGTGAGCCGCCAGGAGGAATGGTAGGAAATGAGGTTAGTGACAGGGGCCAGGCTAAGGCGGACCTTGTAGGCCATTGTGAGGGCTGGCTTTTACACAGAGTGAAAGGGGAGCCTTTGTAGGGTTTTGAGCAGACGATTGGCATGATTTGACTTATGTTTTACAAGTATGTTCCTCTGGCTGCTGTGTGGAAAATACATCCCCAAAGGGTGAAAGACGGAAGCAAAGGAGTCAAAGGATGACTGTTGGGTTTTCGCCTGAGCAGCCATGAAGGTGGAGTGTCCATCAGCTGAGGTGGAGAAGACTGCAGGGTGAGCAGGTGGGTGGGGAGAATCAGGAGCTGAGTTTGAACACGCGTTTGAGATGTCTCTTAAGTGCTTCCCAACTACCTGTTGGAGGCAACTTGATTTGGCTTTGTTTGCATTCCTCTCACAGACATACATCTGTGAAATACAGTACAACTAAATTGCTAGAAAATGGAATAAAGACATTTAGAATACTAAGTAGTTTTGTTCATATATAACATAAAGCAGTTACGCTACCAGAATGCTATTAAGTTTTTAAGCACTTTCAAATTCTGTACTTCTTTTGTTAGAGAGGGGTAACAAATATTTCGTGGATTGGTGAACTAGTAACAAATATTTTCTGGCTTGCTCCGATCAGAAGGCCACACTTTGGATAATTCTGTGTTAGACATCCAAGTGGAAATGTCTCTTAGACAGCTGAACATGGAAATCTGTCTTTGTCACCAAAGGGCAGAGGCAATGTCTGTAATTCACTTTGAACAGAATTTCAGAGTAATTTTGATTCAACAACTATTCATTGAGCACGTAGCACATTTGAGGCACTATGCGGCCTCTTCATGGCTGTGCTATGTGGAAGGGACAGATTAAGATCTGTGGGTAATCTGGGCATGCTAGTAATCTAGCATCCCTTCATACTAATGTTCTTTAAATTTTTATTTACCATTTATGTAGTGGAAATAGGGGAAAAATGATTGCTGCTAACAAACATGTATACCCTTCCTTTACATTCGAAATAATTTATTAAACACAATTTTCTCAACTACTTTCTAAGTAAATTGCTATTGGGAGCATATTGAACTGTTCAAAGTTTAAATGTTAAAACTGGCTGAACTCAGGGATGGAAACATTGCCTTTTGATTAAACCCTGTGATTTGTACCCTCACGTGGCAAAAATATTCAACATAGATTTTATTGCAAATCTGAAGTTGTATACTTGGTTGAGAGGAGAATCAATTTTCTCTCTCCCCCAGTCACCTGTGGGGACCTGAGCTAACTGACACCCTACGTCCAGTTCACCCCTGTGAAGTTTCGTCTCTTTTGAAGAATGTCCTTCACGGCAGCAATGTGGTTGCTCCCACCCTTTATCTGACTTGGTTCCAAGGAAAGCATCATTATCCCAGATTCTGCAGACGTAAAACTGAGATATAGAGAGTTTAGCAACTGGTCTGATGTCACTTTTCTGGAAAGCGACAAATTTAGGTTCTGACATAGTTTTCTAACTTTAAGGAAAGTATTATTTGAATGATTCCACTTTAAAAAATATTAAAAATGTCCCAATGGTAATAATCATTATACATGCAGAATTGATATTTCACTGGCTCTTGATCCTATTGACATTGTAAGACTATCACCACCATACAATGCGTCTCCCACCACCAGCTGTCTCTGGTGTAGAGAGTGGAGTCTCACCTATACTCACAAGTAAGTCCACTCTGCTACCACGTGGCCCCACATTTTCCTCCTCAGCTCCTGCATCAGCGCCCCCTAGAGACACCTGCCACCACAGCTGGCAGACAACCCACTGGGCCTCACCTTCCTTTGTGGGAGGGACCAGCAGTTCTGATGGGGTAGTCCCCATTAGACTGAAGTCATTCTGTGCAGAAGTCATAGAATGCCTAGCACCTCACTTTCGTGTTGCACATATTCTGATTTCGTACTGAAGTTTTAGTCCATTTATTTCTAGCTTTGCCACAATTGGTCCTCTCCTCCAATAGGTAAACTTTGTTCCCAGGTCAGACTTCTCTGTCTGTTTTCTCATTTGTGAACCTGAGTACTCTTCCGGGACAATCTTCAGTTCCTCCTGCTATAGGCTGTGATAATTTCCCCAAGCACTTTGCAAACATGTCAGACTCCCAGCAATCTGGGGCTCAAACAGGGACACTTCCTTCTCTCCTACCCTCTTTCCCCTTCCAGGTGTACTGATGCAGACAAACAAAAGGCATCAAGATTCCTATTAAGGGTCCTTGGCCCTGGTTTCTAAACTAACTCTTGAAAAATTCTTAAAAGAGGAGGGGGAATCAAGCACTAAAATAATAAGTAGTAAAAATCCACCTCATACCCAGTGTGTCAGATTACCCTTGTACACCCGATCTGAAGCTCACCAAGATGTCCTTAAATCATCAGAGAGGTATTTTCAGTAGCAGCTTCTTGACTTACTACATTTTCACTCAACTAGTAAAACTAAAACTAACTTTTAAAGGTCTTCAGATTTCCGGCAGACTGAGTTCAAATCCCCTGGAAGAGCACGGAGTTGTTCATTAGCCGCTGTGGGGATGCTTCATTTCTGACCACTCCCAGGAAAGAACAGATGTTCAGGCAATCATTTATAATTTGAATTTGTGACAGGAAGGAATTACTCAACATTTTCCATTTGATTTCTGACTCTCTTGGTATCAGGACTTGTGACTCACTCCTCCGAGTGGACATTCCCTTGGGGTGTCTGTGAAGAAGAGATGCCAGAAAGGCTT